GGTCTTTTTTGAGACAGGGTCTCCTTGTAGCCCCAGCTGTCCTGGAACTCACTATGTAGACCAGGCTGGCCTCGAACTCACAAAGATCCGCCTGCCTCTGTCTCCCAAGTGCTGAGATTAAAGGCGTGTGCCACCACACCTAGCCCTGTTTTAATTTTTTTCGTTTATTTTTATTTTGAGTGTTATGCCCACATATATGTAAGTGCATCCGTGTCGTGCAGTGCCTGTGGAGGACAGACATGGATGTTGGATTCCTTGGAACTGGAGTTAACGGATGATTATTAGCCACCATGTGGGTGATGGGAACCAAACCCCAAATGCGGGTCCTCTGTAAGAGCAGCTGGTGCTCTGGACCACTGGGCCATCTAGTCAGCCCCTTTGTTGTTGTTTTTAAAATGTTTGTTCTGTGAAAATCCTTCAGTTCCCCTGTAAGTCTAAGAATGACACCGTTCCTATATACCTTTTTCTCATTAAGTCAACCACATTTCTCAAGTTAATTTTTCCACCAATGCCCTTTCTTATTCTAACATCCAACCCCAAATTAATCATTGTATTCATGGCTAAATTGATTTTCAACCATAGTTCTGCAAGGTGAAGATACTGAGTTATGTGGTATCTATAATGTACTATATGTATAGTGTGACTCAAACCTTATTTTTCTCCCCTAGTGGTTAAAAAGTGAGGGTCGATGCCCCTCTGTAATGTTGTTAACACACTCCTCTTTTGTGGCTTTTAGTTCATGATGCCTTATTCAAAGTGTCATCTCTCTAAAGTATAATCCAAGTATTTTCCTTTTTCATTCTGAAGTATTTATTGATTTTCCCATTGTTTATAGAAATAATGGTGGTCTGTGTTCAAAATTCTTCATAGTTTGGTTCCAAGATGTGTGTTTTATTTATTGTCATTGTGTATTTTTGCTGTACTCTGCCCGCCTGCCTCCCTCCCTCCCTCTCTCTTTCCTCCTTTCCTCCCTCTTTCTTTCCCTCCCGCACCCCCACTTTCCATTGTTTAATCTTAGCCTCTCTAGTCTTAATAAAAGATTATATACTAATTATCCTCCTTTTTATATATGCTAGTCTGCATTATGCTAGACAATGTGATAATTACAGAGTTACATTTAACATTTGAAGATGTGGAATAGAAAAGAAGTTAGTATTTGTGGAGTATTTTTATTGGCTCAAGAATTTTAGGCAGTTATTTTTATCAGATCTCTTTCTCACCCCCTCCCATGCCATGGCCTCTATTATTATTTGTCTTTTTTTTTTTTAAAGACCTATGGAGTCTAATTTGTCTAATCTAAATGCTCTTGGGTGTGGGCCTATCCCTTGGAGTCTGGTACACTGTGTTTCATACTAGTAAGGAAAACTGACTTGCTCTCCCAGAAGCTTTCAATTGCCAGTAGATCCTTAGCTAGGGCTGGGGCTTTCTGCCTACCTCCCCATCTGGCTTGAGTTTGCACAAGTCTCGTTAGTGCTGCCGTTAAGTGCTGTGAGTTCATATGTGCCACTGCCTGTGGTCCAGACAGTACCTTCGTTACAGTCCTCTACCACTCCTGGCTCTTACAGTCTTTCCGCCCCTTCTTTCTCCAGGATCCTTGAGCTTTGGGAGGAGAGAGTGTGATCTAGGTGTCCCATTTTAGGGATGAGCACTTTGCCGAGTACTTTTAAAGAGCATGTATGCAGGTTATTGTCTTTTAAAATAATTTTTTCTGACCCTTAGAATATGGGCATTGGCCTTCTCTGCCTAATTTAGCTTCCAAATACCCCTCTGTTGAGTGACTGCTACAGTTCCTGGGTGGTCTTTGTGCTGAGCAGCTTTCTTTGATGTCTTATTTTATACACATAAACCAAGGATGATTTTAGAGAAATGGGAAATTTGCTCATGATTCTGTTACATTCCGCATGTGAGGGTCTCACAATGATTTTGATATATTTCTGACTTTTACT